CGATGCATATTTATCAGGACTTTACTCTACTGAAGGGCTCGCTTTATGCCACCACGCCATGAGCTGACACCGGCCATCAATGAAAGCCCTGTGTCTGTGGCTCGGTGTGGAGAGCCGTGAACACCTGAGTGCCCAGAGTGAGACCACATCAAGCCAGGCGGACGAGAAGGCCAAAGACACAAGCCGGGAAGGGGAAAGGCCCGTGATGTGTTGAGCTAACAAGCCTCACTAAACAAACTGTGGGCAGTCAGCTCTGCGGCGGCCAGCGCTAGCAGTCAGAGATGCAGGAACTCTCATGACCGACTCATTACAGTCATAAAAACGCAAAGGTCTGTGTTTGATTTGTGATTGGAAGTAATTGGGGCTTGTGATGTGAGCGGGTGTGAGGATATGTGGCACTAAAAGTTACTGTGGGTGGCTGGACTGTTCTATACACAAGTGAAGATTGAAAGACTCATTTTTTTGATGTGGAAAGCTTTTTTTTTTTTTTTACAAAAAAAATGTATACTTGTACTGTTTGTACTTGCCTGGGTTATTATCATTAGCTAAAACTAAAAACGTTTCTGTTACATGCAATAAAATAAATGTAAACAGAAATAAAATAAAATATAAAAAACTTGGAAAACCGTGGGTTTGTGGAACAATGACCCCAATATATTCATGGTTATTTTTTTTTTCGCTTAGGCCGTGTGTCCACCAAAGCGTTTTTCCACGCGCCTGGCGTGTTGTTTTCAATGGGAGCGCCGCGTTTTATAAACGGAGTGAGCGCAACGAAGTGCTGAGCGGTTTTTTATTTCATGCTGAAGCACCGAGTGCCCAGCGTTTTTTACTGGTCGCCGAGAGTTGAAAAATCCACAACTTTGGATAAAACGCAGCGCTCATCATAGTACTGGGTGGTTTGACCAAAAATTGATATCACGTTTTTTTTTCAGAATTAAGCCGTTTTTTCAGAATTTTTCAGAGTTTTTCCGGTTTATAACGTTTTTTTCCCCCATGCATAATCAGATGTTCAAAGCATTTTCTACTGGTTGAGAGAGAAATTGCAATAAATTGACTTAGGATTGTCTATTTTATTGTCATTAGTTAATATTGTAGAATAGAATAGCGCCTAGTATAACCTAAAATTGTTATTTCTTAACATTCTAATAACATTCTTATAAACAAACAAGAACGTAAATACAACGTCTAAAAAAACTTCATAGAACGTTCAGAAATAACATTTTTAAAACTTAATGGGAACGTTATGAAAACGTTCTTATAACCTAAAATTGTTAGCAGGGGAAGAGGAGAGAATAGCGGTTGCACTCAACACGTTTAAAGTGCAGGATTCTCTGAACGAGCCCAGAGAAAATAGACATATTCTTACAAGAGCAGCGTGTATCTGAGAGCGGGCGCACGCGAGCAGAGATTCACGCTCGCGCATTATATTAATTTACTTTCGCGCGACAATACTGCGCTCTCGACATTTGACAGGAAAATAGGCGCATCGTAACTTTCGTTCCGAACGTTTTTAATTAAATACATCGGTATGGCGGTATATTAAAAATGAACATCACACTGGTTTTCGGTATGAACCAGTATAACGCCCAGCACTAGCTCATCACTGTCACTTTTTACCCAACCGTCCAATCACAGTGGAGGAGGGGCGGGACTAAACCACACTGACCAACTGTCACAACATCAACCAGCAGAGCTAACCGAACACAATGGATGAAAAATACATTTTTAGTATGAAACAAATTATCTGCAAAATTAGTTACAAGTAAACTGTGCTGTGGATATTCTGTATCATTGCAACGAAACGTCTCAACGGAAAAAAAAAAAAAAAAAAAAAAAAAAAAAAACGCTGCACTGCTAGAACGCTCTTAAGAGCCCAAAGCTTGGCATCTTCATTAGAGTGTCTGGTGTTTTCAGCTGGCTAAAAACGCTTTGGTGGACACACAGCCTTAGGGGTAAAATGAACATGCATTTTAGCATTTAAATGAACATGTGAAGATGTGCTGTGCACTTTTATTTCAATACAAAAAAAAAAAAAAACCCAACAAACATGACAATAGTGAGAAAACAGCAGTTAAGAAAGCATCCAATCATAGCGATACTACTATAAAGCAGCTCTCTAGTGTCTTCATGTTTTTACCTGCGTATTACACCTACCTATTACGTAATAGGCACAGACCAATGGTAGCTTGAAGGTGTTCATCAGCCAGAGCAAAAGTTCACTTTGGGAAGGTGTTTTGAACTCGAGAATACTGATTTTGTTCGACATGACGTCACGCCAGTTCGCTCTTTGATTTCACTTGTAGTATATGGGGGCCTTAAGATTTACTGTGTGTGGCTGAACTGGATCATAGCAATAGTGAGTGCCAGCCTGATTCCTTTCAAATTAGCTATTTCTACTGGCCAGGGTAATTATAGTTAACTAAAAGTAAAACCATAAATAATAAAAAAAAAAAAAAAAAAAAAAACATGTGTTACTTGAAATAAAATGAACGTACGTTGCAATATCGAAAACTTAAAAAGTGTGGATTTGTGGCACTAAGAGTTACTGTGGGTGGCTGGACTGGATCAAGGCAAGAGTGCGTGCCAGCTTGATTATTTACAATCACACGTTTCCTGAGCAGACACCCTACACTGACTTCCCCCTCATCCTCTCTCACAGAGTTACCCATTCACAACACTGTATTTCTCCCCAAAACTCTGGATGAGAGCCGAAAACCTGCTTGGCACCGTGAGACCTGCAAACCTACTCGCCCTGGTTCACCCCTAAAGATTACGCAACGACATGCAATCGTGATCCTCTGGGCATCTTTTAACAATGGTACATTATATAGCCAGGAGTAATCAGTACCTTACAAGATCAAGAACATACACCCGTCCATTACATGACTAATTGGATCACATTACAAAGATGCAGACGGGGGTACATAGCTGCCATAACACATCCTTGAAAACAAAGAGCAGAGATGAAAGACCTGGCATTACAGCCACTGCAAAAAAAGATGTCTCCTCCAAACACTGTATTTCCCTTTTAAGGTAATGTTGGAGGGAAGTCGAACGTTACTTATAATATCACACCTGCAGCCCGATCTGAATTAGAGGCCGTAACAGAAAAGCCTCGTAAATTGTTGAGATGGCTCATGTTTACAGCCGATTGCCACGTGAGTCATGTTTTATACACAGGTGAAGAAGATTGAAAGACTTATTCTATGATGTGGAAAGCTTCTAGTCTATTATTTATTTTTTTTACACACTTTTTTGCAGAGTGTAGCAAATTAGTTAGCTATTTGTACTGGGCAGGGTTGTTATCGTTAACTAAACCTAAAAACATAAAAAAAAATGTTTTGTTATTTAAAATGGAAGAAATTAAATGTTGACAAATAAAATATAAAAAACCTAAAAAATATATTTTTTTTCTGCTGTTTTTTTCCATTTACTAATACAAAAAAGTATTAAAATAAAACTTTATGGTTATTATTAATACATTTTTATTGATTTATTTTTTAGATTATATAGGCATTAAAAAATGACAAAAACACACAACAAAATTACTATCACCTGAATAATAAAAAAAAAAACTAAAATAAAATAAAATAAAAATTCTATAATAGTATATCAATGATAGTAAAATTAACACTGGTACTGATTGCATCTAATTTTGGTTCTGTAAGTAAGACCGTTTTTGTTTTGTGAAGATGTCTAAAGTTTCAGCTCTAACAGTGGCATTAAACAGAATTGGAAAAATAAAGATTATCCAAACAGGTTTTCCATACTCCCTGTTTGTCCTGCTCGATATTCAGGAAGTCAAAGCACCATTGGCTAAGTAATAAAATGACATGTCTGCCCATTTAAACCAACAAAACAATATTTTATAAGCACCACAAAGCCACAGTTTTTACACTCTTGGAGAAGCAGCGGTCCAAATAAATAAATAAAAAACGAGCCCTTCGGGAGACAGAGGGTCATAAATTTTTACTTTTAGGAGCCAAATGATTTTTTTTGTTTACTTTACAAAACAGCAATTGCATTAGTACCTTACTTATTTTAATTGTTAAAATATTAGAATATAATTTACAGTGTAAAAAACATGCTGTTTATATGGCAACATACAGTTGCAGAGTTGGTAATCAGGGTCGCTATAATAGATATTGGAATATTAATTATTTGAATTAATATAAACTGATAACTGCTAATCAGATGAAATCTGACAAGGCCTCAAATTGACAAAGTTTTCATTCTTTCATTCTAATATTAGATCAGACATTATTGTTTGCCAACTTTTTTAAGCTGCACCCTGGGAACCCAAACCTTACTTATAGCTCTTTTCACATGAAATAAAAGTATTGCAGCACAAATTCTTTAAAGGGCTTGTATAATGCCCTTTTCACAAGATGCAAAATAAATCTTTGATGTCCCCAGAGTATGTATGTCAAGTTTTTGCTCAAACTACCCAACATATATTTTTATATAGCATGTTAAAATTGTTACTTTTTGAGGGTGAGCAAAAACACTGTTTTTGTGTGTCCCTTTAAATGCAAATGAGCTGCTGCTCCAGAGGGTGGAGCTTCAGGAGCTCCCCTATTAGCAGCTCTGATTACCTCACACAGACATGCACTGAGAATTCCAAACACTTTTAGCCTTTTATGATCAAACCGGACTCAAGTCAGACTCAAGAAGTGACAACATTTCTGAATGGTTATATGGTGAATTTATGTAGCTTATGTGTAGTTATATTCTAGTCATTGATTAGCATATTCTGTCATGATAATCTATAAATCGCGTTCCGGGGGTGAGTTTATCTAAATTGTAGGGTTCATGATGTCACTAACCCGGGAAGAATGTCGTGTGGTCCCTACCAGCCGTTTGTTATAGTCCTTAAAAAGAAACTTTGAGCTTCATAACTTTGCAGATGGTGTTTATCCTCAGACAGCAACATTACACACTAACTAAAGTTACCACCCCTTTAAGGTGATAGTATGGATGTAGTATATAGAATAACTCACTGTCCACTGGGCTCATGTAGTCAGGGAGATGAGTAGCCGCGGCCCCCGTCTGCATGAGCAGGTCTCCGTAAGGGCTGCGGTGACTGGTGATGAGGTGATAGTAGTCTGAGGGGTTGGCCCCAGGGGGGGGAGGGGGCAGGCCAAACAAGCTCCGCTCCTTCAGGTGTTCATGGGTCACTGCTAAGACAGAGAATAGTTTAGTATATCAGGACATAATTTTTGTCACATGGCCTATACAGTATTTAAATACAGTATACCACTGCTTATGAGAGATGTACATGAGAAATATTCTATATTTTTTCAATTTTTTTGTCAAAAAAAACCTTTACCAGTTTTTAATTCTAACACCGTGTCCTAACTACACGCGACGCCGCGACATGCGATAAAATGTATCTTTTCCATGTTAATCAGAGTTTTTGTCCAAACCAGACGCGACGGCGACACACAAAGTTTCTAATTTAGAAACGGTTCCTATTTCTGCGACGTCGCGGCTGACGGATCCGCCCACACAGAGATCTCATCTCATTGGATGGAAGTTCCGCGTGTCATGAATGTTTAATCATCAAACATGGACGACGAGGAACTGATTGTCGAAGTTCAAAGGCATTAGGTCACTGTGCCACAAGCGATAACGGATAATTTACCTCAGATTTTGAAAGCATAAAATATATAGCGTTCAAAATGAATTCTATGCAAACAAACAACTGTACTTCATAACAAAATTAGTCAATGAGTATATTTTGTTAATGTTTTGATTTTTAATAATGTTATTTCTTGGTTTGATTATGTCCTTACCCATTTCCAATGCGAGTGCGGGCCAGCAGTGCGCTTTCACAGAGAGACTCCGCCCACACGCTGTTCTGAATGGCTGTGATTTTTGATTGACGTGTGACGTCTCACAGTCGCGTCGCGTCTAGTGTGGACAGACACACTAGCTGTCGTTGGAATTTTATCGTGTCGCGTGTAGTTAGGACACGGTGTAAAAACACAAATTATCCAGCCATGAATTATTCAATGAAGCATTTTGTGTACCAGATGGTTTGGGGCAAGTTGTGCCAGTGGCTTAACTAATATTGATAGTAAGCTTTGCCTCCAAATATTAAATATTACAGTCTAAAAAAATGCTGGGTTGTTTTAACCCATCTTTTGGTCAAATATGGACAAACTCAGCCTTTGGGTTAAATGTTTAAATTACATTTTTAACCCAACACTAGGGTTTGTCCATATTTGACCCAAATATGGGTTAAAAAAACCCAGCATTTTTTCAGAGAGCACAAATGCTGAGTAATGAACTGTTTAATACCATTGAAAGTAAAAATGTGTCTATTTAATTGATCAAAAAATGCAATTTAAAATAACAGGTTTCTATTTAATATATAGTTTATATCGTAGACATCTTGAAATATGCCTAAAAGTAAAAAGTGGCACGGATTACTTAGCTCTCCCCTTCCCCTTAAGCCTCTTGCCTAAACTTTAACACCTGCACCTAGTAAACACTAATCTAAAGGTGTCAAAGGCAATACATGCAAGGGATATATTTATTTTTCTGTCTGATGAGGTCAGATAACCATTAGTGCCTCCTACGTTATTTACGTAACATTCGCCTTCGAAAAAATAACAGCAATTCACGCCCATGCTGCTTAAGTTATGGGACGCTCAGGATGGGGGGAGGGTTCCTCCTCATTCTTGCTTGCTTGGCCATTCATACCATAACAGCTCTATCAGGAACAATTAGGCCCCAGCGAGGTTAAAAAAGAACAGGCGTGTGTTTGTGCTGGATTCATGGCAGAACAAGGCCGTTTATTTTCTCCACGCTCGCTGGATCGTATAACTGCGTCCCTAGAGGAGCTCAGAAATGGTGTTAGGAGGGGTGCAGCAGAGGCTGGGGGTAGAAAAGCCCTGAGGCAGTGGACCAATGAAGGCAGATCAGCAGTCAGAACACTGCTCTGGGGCTAGAGACATCTTCAGTGATCTTAATCAGCAATTCTTTAAGGACTGTCTGTTAAACAGACAACACGATTGACTTCCGCAAGTCTGAAGCTCTGTCACAAAGTTGTATAATGTGCGGACAGAATGGATGTAGAGCTAAAAAAATCTAATTTAGACTAGGATTAATGTGGCATTTTATGCAAATCATTGAATTAATCACCTGCAATACTTTTATGCGAGTGTAGGTGAACTGTTGGGAACACGGTGTATATGAGAACGTCAGCTTTTATTTGGATCCATCAAGCTTAATTCCTTCCATTATCTCTGCCGCCATTTAATCACCAACACAATCTTTTCCACATTCCTCATTTAAGTGTGAAAGCAGAGCCATTATTGGAAGGAGAATGTGCTTGGTGACTTATCTCTGGTTTGGGGTGCTCGTCCCAACCTGTTATAGTAACAGGGCTGAGAGGACCATGCTTTTTTGGTAAGGGAGATAATTTGTTTCTTTCTCAATATTAGAGTTTGTGGAGGAGCAGAACCATTAGCTTCTTTCCTCCTTAACCAATGTTTGTAGTCTTCCTCCTAGACATGATGCAATCCATTTTTAGGTGGTACAATGGGTGAGACACTCACCGTCAGCAGGGCTCAGTCCTCGTGCTGCGGAGATCATGGAGAGAGTGGGGCTGCTGTGGACGGAGCGCAGGTAGTGCTCCATGTGTGGGTTGACATATGGGTGTGGTGGGTTGAAGGGGGATTCTCCGGTAGTTGCAGCGTGAGGCGATAGTCGGATGAGAGAGATATCAGAGATAACTGGACTGCCAGCTAATCCATGAGGTCTAGCAAAAGACAAAGAAAAAGAAGACCGCAATTAGTTTCTTACACAAAGACGGGCTTCCACATAGTTTAGGTGCTTAAGTGTAGAGTAATTAGGAAACCTCTGTGCAAATCCGTGTCTTAAGGTCACGTAAACATTTTTACCATCCCTATCTTTAATCACCGTGTCAGTGACGGACCTTAATTATTTCACTTAAAACAAGCTCGGAACTCATGTAACGCTCACTTTCCAAAATTCAACACATTTCTGATGGACAATTAAATTCCATCCAAGATTTTTTTTCTCCTTGAATATCCAGTTTCTCTTTAAAATATGTTGCATATTAAAGTAAATAAGTGAAATGGTCCATAAACAGTGTCATTCAACAATAGACTTTAAAACTTTGTTTTGTCTTCCATTCAAAATGTCTAAAAATTCTTTAAAGTTTACCTGAGAAGCAAAATTATAACTATTCAGATTTTTCTTTTTAAATCAGAAAACATATCTTCAATTATAAAGCTGATCTAACAAACATTTTATATTTCTTACCTTATCGGCAATTTGTTGTTTTTCTAGTTGTATTGTTATTGTATGTTTCAAGATTTAAAAATACATGTGTATCTCTCTCTCTCTCTTGATATCTTTCCATGATCTCTCTCTTGAATCCAACATGGAAGTAACTTAAAATGCAATTCATTGACTGGCCACAAGAGACAGGCTCCAGAAGAAAGTCAATCCCCCATGTTAATATCCCCAACTTTTCAGCAGAAAAATGTGGTACAAAAAGTGGTTTTGGTCTATATACACGAATCCGACGAGCGTTCTGTGTAGGCTGCCATCTTGTGGCGACACAATTACTGAGCTGTTTCCGGTATGTAAACAAACCTCCGTGATAACCAGTCTATGGTGATAACGCACCCTCGATGACAGCTACAGCCAGGCAGAATGACTTGTTGGGTTGATGTTAGACAGTGGCCTCCAGTCACAGATGAAGGTACAAACGATCTTACAGATTATTTATGGAAATAGCTTGGCAAGCTAGCTAGGCTAATGTTAGCTAACGAGGAAACTATAAAAAGATCTGTCCATTTGGCAACAATAAATAAATGAATGACATTTTTCACTTGTGTCCATTATTTACCTCATTTTCACATTGCAAAAGGCAAGGGTAAGGTACAGCTAGAAAGTATACATAATATCGACCAATCAGTGTTTTTAAATCATGGAAAGAGGTCAATATAACAGCAGGAGAACAATTATGTCACATAACGTTACATTTAGCTCAGGAAAGCAATTTAATGACCATAGCATGCTAATTGAATAGAAAAAATAGCTAGAGATTAGATACCGCTGAGCACTATATTACATATTTATTATATTTTTTACTTATGCCAATAAATATTTGTTATTATAATAAAAACTGCACTATATTTAATTTAATTTGTTATTTTAAACCTTTAATAAAACCAGCAGAACTGTATGGCACCAGACAGGGGCAGCTGACCCGGGCTATTTTATGTAGCTCACAATGTTTTCTCTTCCAAATTGAAATTTTACTGCCGCCATTGAAACAATTTATAACGGAACATGTTTTCCCACTCGACATTATAAAATTTGTAACGTTAGAGACAGTCGTAAATCAAGCTGTTTATTAAACCAATAGGAAGCAATGGCGCAACTCTACCCAGCAACAGCTCAGTCAGTTATGGCGCCCGCTTACCTCCGGTAGTTTCGCCGGATTTATAATTTTAGTCTATAGCTAATTTTGCCCTTCATGACAACTATTTATTTTTAAAAAATAATATGAAGCCTTAAAGTTATGGGTATAATTAAGGGCAGGGCCACTTGAGAGACAGGTGGATTGCACTGTTGTCTGTTTGTAATCACGTCACCTCAGCTAATCCCGCCTTTTGCCCATTTTCGATTATCCAGGAGCGACGGCACTTTGGGCTTCAAAAATGCTCCAGGTCCAGGTGTAACATCTGAAAGCACCAATTGGGTCAAAAGGGGTCTTGGGCTTCAGACCTAGGGTTTGGGATTCAGAACTTTACTGTCAAACTGGTCATATTTTTTTTTTGACCACAACTCCCAAACATAGACAAGCTACACTCTTAGAAGAAAAGGTTCTATATAGAACCTTAAAAGGTTCTATCAGCGCTACATATTTGGAACTCCAAAATGGTTATATAGAACCATTTTGGAGTTCCATATATGAAGCGGGGGATGGAACCATTTCTGGTTCTAAATAGAACCATTTCTTCTAAGGGTGACTCCTCCCTTTAGGCCTGAGGTATTGAACAAGTCGAAACTGAGAGAGCTGTAGTACATGGTTGTATTGTTTGTGTGGGATTGATGCCTCTGAAGACACACGCCTGAAGTGTTATGATGATACTGCTTACTACTCCCTCCCCATTTCTCAGTCACTGTTTGAAAAGGCTGATGTGTAGAACAAGATAATGGGGCAGAAGTTCACAGATAGCCCACAGGTCAAGGTGAGGATATAAATGCGTCATGTCTTGGCAGATATATCATGCCCGTCCAAAAAACACCAGCCAGGAGGCAGCTGTAACTCTTACATTTCCTGAAAGTAGAGCATACATCTCTGATCTTCAGTAGCAAGAGGACTTTAAAGAGATGTTTGCGTGTGGTTCCCTTGATGACATTAGTATACAGTGGTTAGACACTTGGACTAGAGCAAGATCAGAACCTGATGTCCCACATTTACATACGTATTTGGCAACAACTTTTATCCAAAGTGCAACCCATTCTCTTGCCGTTGCTATACTGCCATCATCTACTGTTTGAGATACAGGAAGGTCATGAAAGAAAAACAAAAACAAACAGCTGGTCATTATTTTAAAATAAACCCAATTATATGATCAGGAACCTACTGTCATACTGATTCTTACTGGCTAATGCTGTGTTTGACCAATCAGAATTAAGTATTCGAGAGCTCTGTTACAGTTGAGTCCCTAAATGGAGCGTTCTTGAACACAGAGGGAATGTCAGACAGTGTTAAATAAAGCAGACCTGTCTATGTCCCCATACTACTTCACTTTCCACTGAGAGAGGAAATGACCATGTGTATGAATTAGAGCCTGCGTTCCACAAGGGTGTGTTCTGCGCTCGGGCTGCAAATTATGGGGGGATGGTCGGTTCTTCTGGGGATTTGATGGCAAGCAGGCTACAACTATAGCTACACATTCATTTTGTATCGAGGAAAATTAGACCTTACTCAATGGAGGAGGAGAAAAAAAAGAAGCCATTGCCTGAATGAAAGGGGAATGTTTCGTTTATGAAAGTGTGTGTTGTTTACAATTGTTTGACATGTGAATGAAGAGGATTACAGATTGCCTCCATCAAAATGCATTTAGTTATGTGCCATATCTTTTAAGTAACAGTTCTGTCATCATCTACTCACTGTCATATTTTTCCAAACCAAAGAGAAAGTTTAGTCCTGCTCTTTTGCATCTAATGAAAGTGAATGGTGACCATGGCCTGTCAAGTTGCAAAAAATGACCAAAAAGTATCATAGGCAAGTGGTCGAAAGTGGACAAGCTCAAAACGTTTTAGACCAAAAGGTGTTGTCCAAATGTGATCTGATTGACCAAAACACATCTTAATTCCAGAGGCCCTTTCAGGGTAAACAGGGCCAAACATGTAAAATTATTATAAAAAAAATGTCTGGTGAGGAACAAACTGAAATGTAATTAGCTAAATATTTAAAGTCCCCCATAGTCAATCATTTTATCCCTTAAAACTAATCTTTGATTACCAAGGTTCAATGAATATGCAAATTGGCCCAGCCTACACTCACTCACACTAGCTCAGAGATCCACTCGTTGACGATCACACATTGACATGATTGGTTACAAGGTAGTTTGTGACGGCAGAAACACCAGCAATTTCAAACCGCGTTTTTGTGGTATGGCCAATGGGGTAATCCATCTACCGGAAGTTGAAGCCTCGCGGGAGCTGACATCTTGTAGCAGAACTTCCCTTGGGTTAGCATTTCCATTGACTCCCATTCATTTTGGCGTCACTTTATAATAATATTACTTTATTCAGGACTCAAAAAGAAAGGTCCATAGTACAAAAAACAAAACAAAACAAAAACAAAACAAAAAAAAAACAGTTACAACAAGCAATAAATAAATATAAAATACAAAGTTCATTACCTTTCATTTGCAATATACAAACAGGTGCGCCAATGTCTCCACAGTCTAGATGTAAACCTAACAGAGCTAAAATTACTATGGGCTAAAGCTTGTATAATCCTGTTTTCAGAGACAGAAATTCTACACATGTATCGAAAAATAAAATTTCTTATTAAGGCAGTACAGGTAGGCACACCAACATTTACAAACATCTGACTGGCACTACTCCATCTTGGTTGTTTTAAAAGCAGTCTCATACCATCGTTATACGCAACAATCAGTCTCTGCATGTTCTTTTTGCTGTACGACCGCCACAAGTGGGCAGTATATAGAGGTGTACAGAATGCTTTGAATAAAGCCACCTTAACATAAGCAGAACACATGCCAAATTTACGTACCAGCACATTAGCCTGACCATATATCTTACGACACTGTCTATTGATGTCCTTATCATCCGATAAATCATTTGCAATATGATGGCCAAGATATTTTATCTCTTCACACACTTTAAGGGCAGTACCAGATAGAAAGAAAACTGGGAATACTAAATTCCTGTCTTCTTTTGTTCTGACTATCATGACATTGCTCTTACTTGCATTATATTTGATATTAAAATCTGCACCGTACTGAGAGCAAACCTTTAACAGTTGTTGCAACCCAGCACTATATGGGCAGATGATTACCAAATCATCTGCATACATAAGGTGATTAGTGAGAGTATTTCCTATCATGCATCCTGTATTACATTTATTTAACTGTTGAGACAAGTCATCCATATAGACATTAAAAAGGAAAGGTGACAAAATACCACCCTGACGAACTCCATTACCAACAGTGAAAGGTTCTGATACAAGGCCTCCCCATT